GAAATTGACTTCAGCTAGTTGTACCAACCCATAAAAATACTTCTATGTTTGCCCCCCAAGTGACAGCAATGGCTCAGATTCAGGTTCCTTACTGAAGAGTCACTGTAAACTTACTATATTTTTGTAATGCTTATTTACAAATTGGGCATTGAAGGAGGCACACTTCCTCATCGCTGTGTCCAATATTGTGTTTGGTAACTGCCAACATTGAAAATAACAGAGCAGAAAAGACGAGAAATGGCAAATTATACCACAATGGTCAACTTTGGAACTTATTTCTTATTTAATTTCTGCATGATTTACAGGAGACTAATAAGAATGTCTTAACTGATGGATATTTAGCAATAGCAGTAATGTAACTTCTCTTCTGCTCCAAATTATACTAATATTGTCAACATTGATAAGCCTTGGAAAACATGGAGAATTTTGTAGGGAAAAAAACATTCTGTCCAGTGTCAAAATAACCCTTTACACTTTGGTAAACAGATCCCAATCCTAATGCTTTACAAAACGGAACCTCTTACAGAGTCTAAAGACTTCAGCAGTCTTTTTCTTTTAGGGCTAGTTTAAACGCCAGGTGAAACTAGGAAGTGCACAACTGTAGTTTGTTGAATGAATCCCAGCTGTTTGGTTTATGCATCACATTAAGCCATAAGCCACAACTGGAAAGTTCTTACCCTTGGCTAAGTCAATATGTTCTCTCTCTCTCTCTCTCTCTCTCTCTCTCTCCCTCCCTCCCTCCCTCCCTCCCCCCTCCCCCCCTCTCTCTTTCTCATTCCTGCCCTTCTCCATCTCAACAGCAGTTCCTACCTTGAATGCATTGCCTTGTGGGTTTGGACGATGAGCTGCTCTATATGGCTTACAGAAATGAGATGTATGAGTTAATCAACACCTGGAGATCCTCCATGCCAGCATGACTAGCCCAATCCCAGCATTGTTTCTGGAAGAGTTGCATCTACACCTGCAGCTGAGGGCAAAGAATATAAAAATGTGCCATGATGGGTTCAGGGAGAGAGCCAGAATAGGATTCCAGTTTGCTTTGGCTGAGTTTTGTAGCTGGTGGCAACATTGCCGTGAAAGCTTACTTGATTAGAAAATCTGAAAGCAAGACAAAAATGAATGGAAAGTTGGAATGTGGTCCAACTTTAAAAATAAAAAAAACCTCCTTCATTTCTCTATAATAGGGTAAGGGGATAGAGAGAAACCAATAAACAAAATCACAGGGACGAAAAGAGTACTATTATGTTTTCCAAAAAAATTGATCAACCTAAAAAGCTGTTTGCATTCTATTCTCTTGCTAAGTTTCTTTCGTGCATTGCAAATTCATGCTGCCAAGGAAACCAAGATAATGCATGTGCTTTCTCATTCACCCAACTCCTTCCCCTTCAGAAATTCAGTGTTTGTGATTGTCTAAAACTAGTGGCAATATCTCCAATGGCCTTAAGAAACAATTCAGAATCATTTCCAATAAAATATTGTTAAGTTTTCTTTTCTAAAAGTTATGTTCTAATAGCAATTTCAATTATAGGCTGCCACAAAGTTGATCCAGAAAAGACAGCTTGCAATTGCCACTGGAAATTAGACTGACTCCTATGTTCTTTCTATAAGTGTTAAGTCTGATTCAGGAATAAGATTTGCATACCTACATTGACAGTATCCTCTGAAGATATATTGTTCAAAGCCAGGGGTGTCAAACTCAATTTCATTGAGAGCCGCATCAGGGCTGTGGTTGACCCCGGCGGGGTAGGGGGGGTGGCCAACTAGGTGACTGTGGTTAACTGGGTGGGCATGCCCAGCTTGATGTCACTCACTGGGCATGGCCGACTGGGTGGGCATGCACAGCTTGACGCCACTCCCCATACTGGCATGTTTTCCCTTTGCATTGGGTAGACCAGGCTGAAGCCACAATGGCCCGATGTTTCCTCTTCACATTGGGTAGACTGCACTGAAGTGACGCAGGCCAGCCCCTTACATTTTCTAGGATGGATCCAACCACGCATCACGCCAGATTTGGCCTTGTGTTTGACACCTCTCTTGTAAACAATGCAAGGAAGCAGGCATTTTATCACCATGTTAAAGTCATGTATTATAATTCTTAGCCAGCACATATATATCAATGGTCAAGATCTTGAGTTCTGCATGTGGAACTAGTCTATTTATAAAAAGTATATGTCATAGAACTACATGTTAAAGGTGCCCACGTTAATTGTGTCTGACCTGGCAATTCTGTGGGTCAGGACCAGAGGTGGTATTCAGCAGGTTCTGACCAGTTCTGGAGAACTGGTACCAGAAATTTTGAGTAGTTCAGAGAACCGGCAAATGCCACCTCTGACTGGCTCTGCCACCAACTATTCTCTGCCTCTCAAGTCCCAGCTGATCAGCTGGGTCTTCTTTTGTTGCCCTGCACAGGAAAACGAAGCTGGAAAGCAGGTTAGCAGGATAAGGAGGGAATGGGGATTTTGCAGTATCCTTCCCCTGTCACACCTACCAAGCCATGCCATGCCCACCAAGCCACGCCGACAGAACCAGTAGTAAAATTTTTTGAATCCCACCACTGGTCAGACGGTCTCTTCACGCCCTCTGATCTTGCACTACTTCTTTGACTTTTTCTAAATGCTGTGTCTGGTGTCAGCTTTGAGGGTGAAAGATGTTCACAGTTAAGTGCATTAATAGCATTAGTTATGTACAGAAAGAGAGAAAATAACTGAATGACTATCCTAAGATACAATAACATTTTTAATGCAAGAAAGAAATCTATACCAGTGAACAACCGAGTCTGCATTGATGGGATGTGCACCAGTGTTTGGAAATCTAGCCCAGCATGTCAGTTCCTCTCACTCTGGTTCTTGGCATTACTGCTGTTCGAGAAGCATTAACAAAGCTCATTATACAACAAAAATGGGGCTTATTTTGTTCCATTAAGTACTTAAGCAAGCAATACTGATTTTTTAAAAAATTGTAGGTATGTTTGGCTGACAATGAAAGGCTCCTGGAAGAAAGAAACAGAGGTACAGCTGGCTAGTTATAGGAAAGAAGCAACAAAGCAGAGTGTGAAATATACACACAAAATACTAAGTTCCTTGTGTTATCAGCATCAGTTAAGCAAAGCACATGTCTCTCCTGTTTACAGCTCCTTAAGTTTAAAGAGGACATTAATTTGTTCTTTTTTTTCAGGACCTTTATAAATTTGGGAAAACTTTTCTTTTCAGTGGCATTAACTTGGCATGAATTTAAATGATGACAGCCTGAGAGATTTCTTTTTTAATCTGATTTTTAAATAGCTACATTGCTGATATTGGTTAAAACTGTGTTGTGATGTTTGTTCTTCCTTGTATCATTTTGCTTAGGTATAAGTGCACATTCTCTCTATTAGCAGTTCATTTGGATCTTCTAAATTTGCTGGAATGTAAATAATAGTCTACAACACCAACTTATCAGGAAAGCAGGATAAAAAAAATGGAAGTGAGACCTTTGCTAAGGAGCCCCTTAGCTATTTTTATTTACTTTTATATAGGTTATAAACCAAATGAAGCTTTGGAATTTCTTTTAATGATAGGAAAATGAAATAGCTTTTCAAAATAAATAAGTATAAAGAAATACTTTTCATTGTTGCTTCCCAATAGACCTTCATAATTCCCAGCTATGTCATTCCTCCTGCCTTTGGAGATAGATAGGTCATGAAAAAGATGAAGATCTTCACATATACTATATCCAGGAACTTATGGATATGTAATAAATAATTTAGATTCCAGTCTGTGTTATCAGCTGTTGTGTTTTATTTTTCTGTAAATGTTCTAACAAAAACAAACAAAACGGTGTGAGTTTCAAAGGCCATATAGGCAATCCTCAACTTATAACCGGTTACTTAGCGATCATTTGAAGTTACAACATAGTTCCAAAGTTTTGACAGCTATCTCCCCCCACAACCGAGCGACTACATTTTGCGCACTTGACAAGCAGATTGCATATACAGTTGCTTGCAGCTTCTCACAGTCACATGATCATGATTTATGATGTTTTTGCTGAAAACTGGGATTTATTTGTGTGTTTTAGAGTAAAAAATATCCCACAATAGGTTCACTTAACATTTGCTTAGCGAGTGCTGCAGAAATGTTGTAAAGTTGGGTTGGTCACATGATAGCTCCACTTTATGAATGTTGCAACTTATGGCCATAACGGGTAAGCTCTATCATAGTTGTAAGTTGAGGACTCCGTCTACCATACTTGAAAGTAAAAGTAAAGGTCCCCCTGCACATTCATGTTAGTCGTTTCTGGCTTGGGGAGGCCGGTGCTCATCTCTGTTTCTAAACTGAAGAGCCAACGCTGTCCAAAGACATCTCCGTGGTCATGTGGCTGGCATGACTAAACACTGAAGGTGCATAGAACGCTGTTACCTTCCCACCAAAGTGGTCACTATTTTTCTACTTTCATTTTTACATGCTTTTGAACTGCTAGGTTGGCAGAAGCTGGGAGAAGTAACAGGAGCTCACTCCGTTACACGGCACTAGGGATTCAAACTGACGAACTGCCGACCTTTCTGATCGACAAGCTCAGCGTCTTAGCCACTGAGCCACCGCATCCCTGTACTTGAAAGTAGAAAGGAACAAACCAAAGGGAACACTAGATAAAGGACATCTAGAACACTAGATAAACATCCCAGGGAATGAAAATATTAAAAGCAAAATAAACAGCAGAAACTTTTCTTGTTGTAGCAATCACAGAACTTTCTCATTGATCAACAATGTATAAGACTATGAGAGATAATATCTCATTTGAACAACACAGAACCAGTTGCTATTCATCACATTTTCTATCCAAATACATACTTGTGACTACATACTTGCTAGTTGAACATCCTCAACCTTTATCACCCTCTCTTCTAAGTTTAGTATAGCAGATTATTATTATATAGTACTGAAAAAGATTTCACAATTGTTTCCACAGGTTTACACAAAAGGAAAAAAAAAACAGGTAGATCATAGAAAAAGGCATATAAATGCCTACGGGGTATTTTTAATCCCCAGACATAAGGCAAGTTCAGATTTTTGAATTTTTCCATCCTTGTTCACATCACAGTGATGAAGCAGGATATCTCGGAATTTATCCAGATCTGTACCACTAATGCTGGGCTATAACAATAATGAGAGAGAAAAAAAAAAGAAAAAGAAAGAGATTAAAGTGCACTTTGGAAAACAAAATAGTCATTTTTAGCATTAAGCCCATCCAATCTATTTATTTGATTTGATTAATTTAAGTTAAACTCAATACAACACCTTAAAAATCTAGACAAATTGAAATAACATAAAATTGAACATAACAAGGGAACAACACATCATTGCCAAGATGAATTACACACCAGTAGGCATGATGTTAGTCTACCCCAGACCTTGCCTCTGCCTCTTCTATGTTGTTTTTTCATTAACCGGGTTAGCCTGCAACTATTCGTACGAAGTCCCTTATTCAAGTATAAACAAGGTCTGAGTCTCCTAGCCCAGCAAGGTTATATCATTTGCTGAGATAATGAGAAATAATGGAGTTGTACTCCAGGGTAGTAGATTTAATTTTTTTAAAAAAAACATATAATATGAAACAGACTTCTTGAACTGTGGCTCTTCCAGATGTTTTGAACATGAACTCCTATTATCCCTAGTGAAAACAGGTAATTGCTTGATGTTTGAAGGGTAATGGCCGATGTAATCCATCATAAAGGAAATTATCAGATTGGAAGAAATATGTTCTGTGGAACTGAAATACACTGTCAGTACATTACCAGCAAATATTTACGTCTGGGAGAAAGGATGGGGAAAGGCAGTAATTGAGGAAGTATGGATAATTTGAACAAGACAAGCTGTAATGCATGCAAAAGTTCGTGTTGCATAACATTCTCCCATTCTTCTCTTCTTCAGTTTCCATAAAAAAGAAAATGGAAGCAGCTTATTTTGCTCAATCATTAAAGCAGCTGAACTGAAACATACACAGGTGGTCTGACTCTAATTGATCTAGGGCTGCCAGCAACTTTTGGTTAAAAATAACAGGCAAAAAACATAATAACAATAAATTACCTTGACAAGCTCCATCATATCTTTTACAAACCCATCAACTTCTGGACCTTCAAGAGCTCCTGTTTTACTCTGGAATATATAAAGATCATGTACATTTGTGGAGTAAAAACATTGACATGTCTATCTACATACTTTGCTCTTTCTTCTGGCAATAATGTACTCAATCTTGGAAGCTATATCCGTAAGAGTAAGAAGGATTTCATGGAAAAGAAAAAAAAACAAGAAAATGACCAGAATCCATAAGGAAAAAGATTATTGCCTTACTCCTATCCTGTCAGCTTTGAAAACAAGTAGACCACATAAATCTTACAAGAGCTGTGGCATATTAAAGACTAATGGGATATGAGCATCAAGTTCTTGGTGGACCAGATCAATAAGAGTCATACACTTTCTACAAGAACTTTAAATGTGTGTCGTCTGTGCAAACAAAAGGAGGAAACAAAAATGCTGACCTCCTCGGCATCATTCTATAGTTCTGCTTCTTGTTGTAGAGGCAGTTGGCTTTGAAAGCTAGAGATCTTCATCTATTCATGGAGATTCTTTATGCAATTCCAACCCATGAAAGAATGGGTTGAATGAAAGAATGAATTGAAATATGACATGGAAAACCTTCACAGATAGAGAAATTTCCCACTGCCTATAGTTTTCGTCTGTACTTGGCTAAAGCGTATTACAGTGCCAGATCAGAATTATCTGCATTTGTATCTAGAGGACCAAAAAAGAATGATTATGAATGGAAGACAGCCAAGAACTGTTTCTGAAGCAACTCACGATCCTTGCCAACTCCACCCCCAAAAACCAAAACCTCTTCCTTTAATGATTACAAAATAGATACAGATTCTTGCTCGTTGCCAAATACCTCTTTGCAAAGTTTGCACAGCCCTAACAAATTTTTAAAAAACATTATGTTTGGCATTTTAAATAATGGAAGGCAGAAAATGCCCTCCATTAAGAGCAGCATTTGTTTGGATAATGCCCTGTTGATCCATTTGCCTAGCAAAGCAGCTATAATAATCTCTGTAACTATACATGTACACGCAGATTTGTATACACACTTACATTTAAAAACAATTACCATCATTTAAATAAAGCAAAATCCATTTCTATCCTTTGTGAAGAATTATAACCAAGTGACTTGTAGTTTAACTCAGTGGTCCCCAACCTTTTTTGTACCAGGGACCAGTTTCACGCAGAAACACTTTTTCAAGGACCGGGTAGGGGCGTGAAGGTTCCAATAACAAAAATCTGTCACCGCATATTACACAGACTGGGTGTGGGGCTTGTGAATCACCTGTTGCAATGAACCCATAACTCATTTTGTGAGGGCTAGCTTGCATTGCTGATGCAGGATAAATACACGCCAAAGAATCAAGCGTGGAAGTTAGGCGAGGGCGGAAGTGGCTGTCTTTCAAAATAAGACACCCGGAAGCAAAAACATATTTTTATATATATTTCTTTGTGGCCTCGTACAAAATGATCCACGGATCGGTACCAGTCCGGGGCCCGGTGGTTGGGGACCCCTGGTTTAACTGACTGGTACAGGTCACAATAATATCACGGCAGCAATGATTGTGCAAATAATGTGAATTATGTATATTTGATGCAAATTACATTTGCATGGGGACAACCACAGACATCCACAATTTGCATGCTAGCTCAATAAGACTCATTAATGATGGAGAAATTCCTCTGCAATGATTATCTTTGATTCATCTTTAAACTAGGCATAGAGTATTCGAGAACATCTTTCAATAAAGGACAGCCATTCATAAAACAGGCTACTCTCGTTTGGTGTAGGGTCAGTAACCCCAAATACTAATAATAAAACTCTTACCACATCATAGTGTGCAAAGATTTTCTCAAAGTCTCTCTTTCTTTCTTCTGCACTGGAAGCCTAAGTCGAAGAACATGTAGGAGAGGAATTAGTTTTGAGGGGGGGGGGGGTGAAACTACAGAGAAAAAAAAAAGAATAATCAAGTTCCCTGCAAATTACTGTACTTACATCCAGTTTAAATTGAAGGAGAAAATTTTCCTGAAGAGCTAAAATCCTGCGTGGAAAGAGCCAAACCATTATTTTCTGAGACTTCATTTCCACAGAAATAGACAGTGGTGCTTGACAGAGCTCAGAAACAGGAGATTTCACAGGAATTTAACAGACATTTCTGGAAACAGTAGTTTGTGATATGGTGCATTGTCACCCTGCTTCCAGGAAAAGCAAGTCCTGAGCCTGCAGTAACTGCACAACATGAGGTGAGTTGCTGAAGCCACTTGAAGTGAATATTTACCTTGCGAGATCATTCAGATCCAGTCTGCCATCTTTATTTTTATCAAAGAGCTTCATCTACAATGCAAATAGTGGAAGTGAAATGATTAATACTAGGAGAGTTAAGAAAAAAATCCCAATACTCCCAAACCAATAGCATTTTGCTAATCAGAATGATACTCTCAAATTACTTTGAGTGACAGTGGGCAGACAAATGGTTGGTTATGTGACGATCCAAAGATGTTCAAAAGTCTACCATAGATTTCTCCCAGGGATATTTAGACTGTTCAAGTCATAACTTTAAAATAATGTTTTGAGATGCTTCCTTCAGCTAGCGGGCATTGAATACGTTGAATAAAAGATATACCTGTTTGAATAAATATATACCTGTTTTCTTTCATTTTCCAATTTTTCTCTAACAATTGATGAATTTTTTTTTTTTAGTCTAGTTGATTCAAAAGAATGTGCTACTACCTTTAGGAGTGCTTGGTCTCTGGAAAGCATGTATAAACCTGCAGCCCTAAAGCCTTTGAGGATGAGATAGGCTAAAAATCTAAGAATGTAATTTTGGGATAAGATAATCGGGTAAGCCTTAACAAACTGCAGAGACAAATCAAGAATTAAATGTAAATTGCAAAGGAACAATTGATGGGGGAGTGCTGAAAATTTAGGTTTTTGCATCTGATATCCTTATGGGAAGACTTTATTATGTATTGTTTGGGAGTCCTGGGTAAGTACGTATGTAAACACCATAGGCCTAAGATGTCAACAACAGCCTGCCCCAGAATTTCATCCTTAGTACTGGAACTACAATTCCCAGACATTTCTACCAGCATGGCCCAGAGTTCTGCAGCCAGACATTTCTGATAGAAGTAGTTCTAGTACTTTGGGGGGCACTCTTGGGGAGAAGTTTGCAGGAGCAGGTCTTCTGAATTTGTTCTTAGAAGCCATAGGCCAGGACTCTCCAAACTTGGCAACCTTAAGACTTGTGGAGTTCAACTCCCAGAATCCCCCAGCCAGTCATGGCTTGGGAATTCTAGAAGTTGAAATCCACAAGTCTTAAGGTTGCCAAGTTTGGAGAGCCCTGCCATAGGCCCTCAGAAGAATGATCCTTATCCATTATCTTGCTGAGCCTTCCAAAAACATATGACACTGCCAAAGAGCTTTGTCTGCATAAAAATGGAATTTAATTAAGAAATTTCAGTCTCTTAGTATCAATATTTATTAATATAAAAAGGTTTCTCTGCTCTCCGAAGTATATTCTAATTGTATTCTTAGCATTTCCTTTCTTGCTGCTTGGTTTACTTTTTGCTGCGCTTTTCCTGCCGTTATGTCCAAAAACAACAAAAGGGTGAAGGGGGGTGGGGAAATGCTGTGGTTTTTTTTCAGAATGAAAGGAAAAGAAGGAAGAGTGAAGGAAATAGTGAATGGATTAAACTATAATAAAAGGAGGTTGAGAAGCTGGATTTAATTTTTTATATGTGGAAAAGCGATTTGGCAAACTGCACAGCGTAGCTCCAGGTTTAAAATATTCAAAACTGGCTTAGTGTTTAGTCTTTATTTTATTAATGCTACCATTAGGAAAGCTGTAAAACATCCCAGGGGAGGGGGGAATATGATCCTATCCATATGTTGCATAGTATCTCATCTTTCTATCATTTAATCTTCAGGCTCAGTGGCTTAGAAGATAGTGCCATCTCAAAATCATTAGCCTGCACTCCTACAGCATATGATTTAGTTTTTCTCAGATGAGCGCACAATGTAGATTAGGGGCGTCCAGGCTTGGCAACTTTAAGTCTTGTGGACTTCAACTCCCAGAATTCCATCTGGGGAATTCTAGGGGTTGAAATCCACAGGTTCACAGGTCTTAAAGTTGCCAAGATTGAACACCCCTAATCAGTGGTGGGATTCAAAAATGGTTAATACTGGTTCTGTGAGTATGGCTTGGTGGGGGTGGCTTGGTGGGGGGTGGCATGGCTTGGTGGGCATGGTGTGGCATGGCTTGGTGGGTGTGGTGTGGCTTGGTGGGCATGGCATGGTGTTCTGTCTCACCTGTGACTACGAGGTGAGAGTCCAAGTTTCCAAAGGAATATAAATAAACAGACAGGACCAGGAATGACAAAGTTAAATTCCTTTGACTGGAGAAGTCCTTGGCAGTCTTCCAAAAGCTGCCTGCCAAGTCCGATAACAAGACAAGACCATAAATCAAAGGCAAACGCCGCACAGAGAATTTGTCAAAGCTTCTATCCCAAATAAACAAATTGTCCCGGACAAGGATTCAAAGCTAACACGCCCCCTTTTATTTCCTGAGGGGCGTGTCAGTCTCTCATCTCAGTCTCTGATTTGACATGTCCTTTTACGTTGCATTTCACGTCTATGTCTACATCTTTTCCTTGCATCAAACCAACATTCCTCAGTCAGAGGCTCTGCTATGCTCTCCTGATTATCTGCCGACACCAGAGGCACAACCAGGGAGGAAGGTCCTGGGGAGGAAGATGATTCTGAATCCTCCGGCAAAGCAGGCTCAAACCTCAGAGCCAAATCCTCCTCTTCCTCCTGGCTCAAGTCTGTGTCTTCCAGCAAAGCAGGCTCAAATCTCGAGGCCAAATCCCTCTCTTCCTCATTGCTTAAGTCTGTATCTTCTAACAAGGCAGGCTCAGGCCTCCGAGTCACAACAGCATGGCATGGCTTGGTGGGTGTGGTGGGCATGGCAGGGGAAGAATACTTCAAAATCCACATTCCTTCCCTACCCACTAACCTGCTTCCCAGCTCTGTTCTCCTGTGCAGGGCAACAAAAGAAGACCCAGCCGATCAGCTGGGACTCAGAAGGCAGAGAATAGATGGGGGCTGGGCCAGTCAGAGGTGGTATTTGCTGGTTCTCTGAACTACTCAAAATTTCCACTGCTGGTTCTCCAGAACTGGTTCTCCAGAACCTGCTGAATATCACCTCTGCCCCTAATGTAACTAATGGAGGCGTTTTACAAACATTATACAGTCTGAGTGGTAAACTATAATGGTCCTTCTACAAAGGTATTCCCAAGATCAAGTGAGCAGCTTCTCTCTTTCTCTTTGCGTCTTACAAATTGCCAGTTTCTGCATCTCATTATCTTTCCCTCATATCCCCTCATAACGTGCCACACAAACCCTCAACGGGAGGAGGAGTCAAACTCTGACACCATGAGATCTCTAACTTTCTAGCAGTTCCCATTATTGAAACATTAATGAACTTGGATTATTAATCAGAAACATGTCAACTATCAACTGCAGTGTAAGGATACGCCTGGCCTCATTTCACAAAAGATGACTAATGGACCGACCTGGGATAGCAACTCCGTTTTCTACTGAAGTCTTCACTGATCTATTGGAATTGACACGTAATGAACTTTTTACAGTAATCAGAATGGCAAAATGAGCCATGGTGGTGTAGTGGTTAGAATGCAGTACTGCAGGCAAACTCTGCCTACTGCCAGTAGATCAACCTTGACCGGCTCAAGGTTGACTCAGCTTCCATGATGGGTAAAATGAGGACTCAGACTGTGGGGGAGCAATAAGTATGCTGACTCTGCAGACCGCTTAGAGAGGGCTGTAAAGCACTGTGAAGCAGAATATAAGTCCAAGTACTATTACTATTGCCAAGACAGAAAACTAGGGGTTGGCGAGGCAGTGCCCTCTCACCAGAATCCCAAGGGCATTGCCAAATTTTCAAAATAGTGATGAGAAAACTCGCTTGCTGTCCTATGAAAATGCCTAAATCATATGAAATAACAAGATATTACAAGCCTTGGGCCATTTCTACCATGTTTCTCATATAATAAGGCCGGGTCTTATTTTTTTTTGAGCCCCCCAAAAATGGCTAGGCTGTCTTTTCGGGGGTGACTTAATTTCCCCACCCTTGAATCTTCAGGTGGGCGGCAACGGCTTGGATGTTGACCTCAGCGTTGGTGGGGCACTTCGTATCGGGGTCAACGCAGGCAGCACCATATCTGGGTATGCAACAAAAGTACTTCCTAACGGCAAGCCCCCCCACCATCCCCCCCCCCATTTCGCATGTTTTAATATAGGCCTTAATTTGGGGGGAGGGGCTTAATTTCATTTCATGCCTATAAAACATGCTGGGACTTCCTATTCGGGGAGGCCGTATTGTTGGAGAAATAGGGGAGTAAGACATTTCAGCAACTTCATGTGAAATCATACCAACGCTGCATGAGATGAGGGTTTTATTGTCTCTTTTCTTGCACCTGGTTCATTGTCTGAGATCATCACGCGGTTCCATTGTAATGAATCGTGATTCACTACTGAGAATTGCTTCTTCTACAATTCACGTCTTTTCTTTTCCCTTTTCTTCTTCTTCTGGAAAGCTCAAAAGCCTTCGCTTCTCTGTGCAGTGGAATAGTCAATATTGTCAATAAACAGTCACTCTTACTCATCACATGTCCTTTCCTCTCCTTCAGGTTTACTTAGGTTTGTCAGTTCTGTCATTAGGGGCTGAACTGAACTGAAAGCAAAAGTCCTCTGTCATAACTGTTACAATAAAAAAAAAAAAACTTGTAGGCCCGCAGAGAGAGCAGGTTTCTTTTTCTTTTTATCATTTATAAAAAAGGTAATGGTTTTCCCTATCCAGGGGCGGGCTTCAAAATTTTTAGCAAGGGGTTCTCTTCCCGATTGCTGGATGGGCGTGGCCTAATTGGCCTCCTGCACCATGGTGGGGGGGGAATTTTTGCCCTCCCCAGGCTCCGGAGGCTTTCCTCAAGCCTCCAGGAGGGCAAAAATGGCCTCCCCAGGCTTTGGAGGCTCTCTGGAAGCTGGAAACTTCCTGAACTTCTGGGAGGCCCATTTTTCACCCTCTCCGAGCCTCCGTGTGCACCTTGCACTTACCTGCATCCAAAACGGGCTGCGTGGGGACTCCTAGGAGGGGTGGGGTGGGGTGGGTCAGGAGTGGGATTTGGGGGGTTTTCCAAACTGTGCAGAATCTTATCTAGGGGCTCTCCTGATCCCCTGCAAACCCCCAGCAGCCCACCCCTGTCCCTATCCAGTCAGGTCTGATTCCATCCAGGGGATGATGCTCACCTCTGTTTCTTAACTGAGGAAGCCAACATTTGTCTGAAGAATTTTTGTAGTCATGTGGCTGGCATGACTGTATGCTGAAGTGCCTGGAGCAGTTCCCTTCCCACTGAAGTGGTACCTATTTATCTACTTGCATTTGCATGCTTTCGAACTGACAGGAGCTGGGGCAAGAATGGGAGCTCACCCTGTCATGTGGCACTAGGGTCTCAAACAGTCAATTTTCCAGTTGACAAGTCTAGCATCTTAACCACTAGGCCACCACGCCCTTCCTTATCATTTAGATCACCATCTTTATTATTTTTATAAATAATTCAAGGTGGCAAGTGTACCTAATACTCCTTCCTCCTCCTGTGTTCCCTACAACAGCAACCTTGTGAAATGGCTTGGGCTGAGAAATTGGCCCAAAGTTACCCAACTAGCTTTCATGCCTAAGGTAGGACTATGCATGGTTTCCTGGTTTCTACTCTGATGCCTTAACAGCTACAGTGGCTAAACTGTGTTTTAGCAACCTGTTCCAAAGAACTAGTTTTCTCATGTATCCTTTCCTTTTATTTTAAAACTCTTCCCATAATTTTTTGATGGGTTAAATGTATAAAGGTGCATAGGAAGTGGTCTCCTACTGCAGTAGAATAAATTTTAAAAGCTAAATAGATGATGGCATGGGGTTATGAAGGAACCAAACAGTTTATCATTCAAACGCTATTTTATATCTCAGGGATGCAATAAACTAAATTACTCATCAACTATTTGGACAAAAATGGAGAACATTCTCATCATCCAGGTAGCTGAGAATTAATCCTTAATTCTCGACTTTCCTCCATTTTCTTTAAATTGCACATTTTAAAAAAGTTTTAAAAAGTACCTTTTACATAGGTAAAAGGTGCTGCTATATCTGATGGAAGCATATTGTCCACTGAAAATGAAAGCCCATTGCTGACAGTTGGACAGATATTATCATGACTTGCTATTTTAGCCAATGAATAATAATAACCTTAATCTGAAAATGATTATTTTGGCAGGGTAGGTAGTATGATTTGCAGATGAATATGCCAGTAATGAGCTTTCCTTGCACGTAGCATAGACAAAACGTAGCTTTGTGAATTGCAGAATGCTAAATACCAGGGTCCTTTAAAAGTCATACCATAGAGTTAGCAACTACTTGGCCATCAAATATATCTGAATGGCTTGTAAGGCATTCAAGATAGATCTGGATGTTCAGATTAATGGAGATAGCATTTGTAGAGAGCTGCACTGCTACCAGGGGTGTCAAACTCGTGTCGTCACGGCGGTGTCACATGATATATTGGGACTTTTTTGCCTTCGCTAAATGGGGTGGGAGCGGGATCAGCATATGATGCATCCGCTGCGAGTTTGACACCCCTGACCGCTACAAAGACAATAGAGAGCCATATTAGAAAGATGAACAATGATACAATTCTACCTGGATGACTGAAAATTTTCATCAACATCAGCAAGGACAAACTTCTACAAATTCAGTTTCCTTTTCTTTTAGAGAAAGAAATATATTAATGTGATCAGACTCTCCTTGATTGCCAGTGCACCAGTCACATATTTTGGCAATTCATCAGTTAATTAGCACCCTTAAAATACTCTGAGCTCCCACACACTTAATATGGACAATGTACATGTTTAGCTAGCCACAAATAAAAAGAGGATTTGCATAGCTTTGCATTATGCTTAGAGGACATGAGGCCCCTATAGTGAGTACTTGGGTGATAGACTTGGTCCTTTTAGTTCAGTGGCTAAAGCTTTTTCTTTGCAGATAACACTTCTAGGAAGATGGCACTATGGCTTTGTTCAGCATCCTTTGATCCAGAGGTGGTATTCAGTAGGTTCTGACCCAGTTCTGGAGAACCGGTAGAAGAAATTTTGAGTAGTTCAGAGAACCGGCAAATACCACCTCTGACTGGCCCCTCCTCCATCTATTCTCCCGAGTCCCAGCTGATCGGCTGGGTCTTCTTTCATTGCCCTGCACAGGTGAACGGAGCTGGAAAGCAGGCTAGTGGGGTGGGGAGGGAATGGCGATGTTGCAGTAACCTTCCCCTGCCACGCCCACCAAGCCATGCCCAAGCTACGCCCACAGACCCAGTAGTTCTTAATTAATTGAATCCCACCACTGCTTTCATCCTACTGACACATAAAGATTTGCAAAGGAATGCCCTTCCCCTCCCCAGTAGCTGAAGGAACACACTATGGCTGTGTCTCCAAGGGATCCACTACCAGAAAAACTATCCTTTGAGTGATCACCATATGTATCTCACTTAAACGTGAGAGGAAAAGTTTCTTCCAATGATCTTAGCAAAGGACTGAATTATTTTGTGTCTGTGTGCTGCTCCTTTAGGTCTAAAAAGTTTGCCTGCCCAATTTAAAATTTGTCATGTAATCAATGGTTTACTTAAAGGTTCGTTCTGTTTCTGGAAGTGAAATGTAATAAAAGATACTCAAGACTTCTCTCTGTTTGCTAATAATCCTAGTCCTTAATACAGGAAAGGTGTTGTTTTTTTTTTGCATATATTTTAATGAGTTGAACATAATTGAAATAAAATATCTCAAAAATTGCTAGATACATGGAAAGAAAACATAATGAAAAAAAAATAACTAGGACTAAATGAACTAAACATGTCTTTGGGTTAAGTGTTCCTGATCATTGGTTCCCACTGAGCTTTTTTAAAAATAGGTTATAAAGAAATATTGAAATGGAAAAGGCTTACATGCTTAGGCCATTTAGATGGTAATCTCTATGCACTCACTTGAATATAAAAATCATAGAAATTAGTGGCTTTTAATGCTAAGTAGATATATTGTGCTGCTGGCGCTATAAAGGCCAAACCAGCAATTTAAACTGAGCATGGAAATAAACTAGCAGCCAATAAAGACGAAATAATAACAATAACATTGGATGAATGTGGTTGCAGAGCCAGCCCCAGTTAATATCCTGCATCTGAACATTTACTTTTGGTTGCTGGCCTTCTGCATTCACCCTTTACACTTTCAAGCTGTTGCCAAAGCCCCAAAAGCTGAAAGAATGTTTTTGATTTAAAACAAGAATATGAGCATCCTTCCTCAACATCTTACCAAGCAGGACTTCCCAAGCCTTTTCTTCCTCACCCCAAACCACTTATCAGGAAATCCTCTTTACTGAGATCCTTTTTATCAGAAAGGTCTTATTTAATTGGGATTGGATGATGAGTTTGTGTGTCCCTGCTGAAAGAAAAGCCACTTTTACCCAATTTGGGGTAAATTACGTGGGAAGCCCCTGCTCAAAAAGCATCGGCTGCAAATGACACTTTCCTTCCAGCACAGTGTCTAAAAATGACATATTACTGGGCACAGGCCATGTCTCTGACCTAAAGGAAAAATACAGAGTTCCAGAATTGAAAGATTCTTGTGAGAGAACTCAGAGCTCTCCTTACTTCATTTTCTCTTTGCTCTTGCTCTACCGTTTCCACTTTTTTTCCTTTGCATTATATTTCTGAAGGTAGAAGATTACTCTCTGAAATGACCCTTAAATCCTGTGTGCTCCATGTATTGTATAATATTCTTTTTCATCCTTTGCTACGCGCATCCAAATACTGTAAAAAAAAATCCTTCAGGCTGCCTCAAAGATTTAGGAATTACTATAATGCTAGGAATAATAGTTAAGAAATTTCGGTTTACCATGGTATCAGTATATTCCTGCAGTTTTGCCTTGGAAACGTTTTTTCCATGCTGCCGAAACAGATCTTGCAGAAAATCCTAAGTTCAGGAAAGAGGGTAGAAGTTACATTTCAACTTCATCCTAGAACAATACACATGACTCAGCTGGATTCATACAAGTCTCATGCATAATTCATGGATGAGCAACTTTGTTTTGGCTTCCAGAGGCACTTCTGCCTCTGTAGTTGAAAATAGGCGCAGCAGGTTTCCACTATTTTAAAGAGAAAACAACTGCTCTAGGAAGGTAAGGGAAATAATAAATTAACCCGCAAATATTGCCACAAAGAGAAACAGAACATCCACGTCTTATCTATATGCATGCTGTGGGCCTATTCATTTCGGGGGTTTATTCCCACCCCCAAGAAAACTTAATTGCAGCTTGCAGCCACCTTGGAAAAGGTGGCTTACCTGGAACTCTGCTTAGTACAGGTAATGGGCTAAGGTAATCAAAGTGTAGCTAATAACAAAAGCAGCCTCTGGATACAGTTCCAGCAAGCCCAGAACTTACTCGGAGTTCACCGGCTGAAATAAAGCCACTGCTGTCAGCATCATAATGACGCCAAATCTGTGGGAAAGAAAAAGTGTGGTACTTTACAAATTATGTCCTTGAATCAACATCACAACCTCACCAATAAATCCTTTGACAGATTTCTCTTAGGACTATTACAGTGCTACAGGTTCAGCTAGCATAAGCCTAAAGAAGAGGTTGTAGTGCCAAAAAACAAAGTAAATAACAGAACATTTTCTGTTAATCTGGTTCATTAGATTGGTTTCACCGAACTGTCTATTGATTAGTTGCCAAATCACAAGAAAGAGTGTTAGTATTAAAAAGAAGTTTACATATAAAGGAAGTTTCAACTGACCACAATCGAACCCAAACTTTGAAAGGCAGGGAAGAAAAGCCTCCATTTTATTTGCTTTCCATTTATTTTGTCCATGACAGACTCTAGTCTACACTAGCCTATTTTATTACAGGTCTCACTTGTTTGTGTTACTGATTTTTTTTTCCACGAAAAGAAGTCAAACTACAGACATGCTAGTTCAGTATGGACACATGGTTTCTATGATTGCACATCCAGGCCAGGGTTATTGCTATGCAAATAAGATAGCTTATCTCAACTGCATTTTGAAGCTGAAACTGATAAGCCATAAAATCTGTTCTAACCAGGTGTAGAATTATTTTCACAGGCTGATAAATGATAATAATTTCTGGAAGTCTACAAAATACATCTCAGTATCCAGTATACATCTCAATATAAAAGCTGGATAAACTGGGCATCTTCTTGGTGATGTGTTAAAGCTGTTGAGTCCTTCTCAGTTGATTGACCAAAAACTTATTTTTTACTAGTTTTTTTTTAAATGTAAGAATCTATGGAGCACAGGGCCAGCATGTTGCTAACATGTTTTTCAATAAGAGAAATCTGAACACTAAACTACATGGAAAAATAGACACAGCTTTTATTCCTTCCCATATGAAGTAAACATGCCTTATCCATTAAACCTTCTGCTATCGGCAGCTTGTTAAGCCAAAGGCTGACATTTTCACAGTTCAAGACACACAGTCCTTTTGTGGTTATATTTGCTTTAAAGAAAGATAAGGTTGTAATTTGTGAATTGAATAAGCAGCTACAGAAAGGAGTATGGTGTGGCATGGTATGGAAAAGGGTAGAGAAGGGTAGGGTAGGGTACCTATGTCAAGAAGCATGTGTTGTCATTTCACAGCAAACCATACACAAACAAGAGATTATGTATTACAGAACACAAAAAGAGATGGGCCGGTGGTTCAAGATGCATCTCAAGGAAGTTTTATAGAAGAAAAGTTGCTGATATTCCATGCCCACCTATGATTTGCCTCCCTCCTTTCCAACAACACCATCGTTTTGTCCCCGATAAATTTACTTTTTGGTATCAGAAGGAAAGAGTAGAAGTAGTCTCAGGTTTAGCTCCTCTTATCACAAAAATACATTCTGTTTTTACAAACGAAATCCTCCAGTACTTATTTTATTTGAGGCAGTGCATTGTGAAATTAAAACCAACAACAGTTGTTACTTCAAAAACCAGAACATGCAGCAAGAATTCTCTTACTCACCCGCATGAACTCCACGCTGTTATTCAAAGGAGTCTCTCTTTGGAAAAGTAGCAGAAAGTTGTCTTCCTCAGTCAATATCATATTTGCAAGCTAAAATAACATAAATTATTATGGTTGTAGAATAATCCGTATCCTGAATCTATATTAGATCAATCAGAAAAGTTCAGAGGGCTGACCCTGTGATTGTTTAAATGTGTCTCACACATGTGGCACATATAAAAAAGGAATGGACCTTCAATCATACAAGCATCATCCTGACCTTGTTTTTTAATCTTCCCAATGCCCCTGTTCTATGTGTTTACAGGACTCAGGGCTGTTTATGGTCAAAAATCAAGATGACAGCCACAATGATGAGTTCAAAGCTCTTCCTGCTTTTTCATAGGTATCACATGAATGCACACATAAAAATGTGGGCAGAGCTCATACCACTGTGGTTGTGATCTTAACCTTTTTGACCATGTCTTGTGAATACTCCTGCTGGGATTATTTCCAAAAACAGGAATCAGGCATGGCTGAAGTGAGACAACAGCAGCAATGTCTAAGATACAAGAGATTCTTTTGATTAAAACTGGCTCTCGGGTGTGTTCAATTATCTAATGCTATTTTCTAAAGTCCCCAAAGAAGAAAAGAGGCAGGTACCTCTTGTATTTGTAAGCGTCCATCATTAGTTACATTGTAGGTTGACATCAATTGTTCTTTCATCCTCTGAACCTTTTCTTCTGTAAAGGTGCTCTGTACAAAAAAATAATAATGATCATAGGACTGTGGTTACAACTGACATTCTATGAGTATGTCCTTTTTAGGTTTCTTCAAAATCACCCATTGAAGACTTCCAGTTGGTACTCTGTACTGAAAGGAAAAGATTTAGAGCAACTTTAACATTAAAAGAGTAAAAATCAATTTGATCTGCTTTGCTAATGAAGATTCCCAATTAAATATACTTGCTATATTATCTTGTAGACATTTGTAAATGGAGGAGCACCACACAACCATATATCCACATATGTAGCACAGAATAAGAAGCTGTAGAGAATCCCATCTGCAATTACAGAAAATCCTCAACTTACAATGACAATTGAGCCCAAAATTTCTATTGCTAAGCAAAACAATTAAGTTGTCAACTCATAAAACATTTTCTATGCCTGTTTTATAGTTGCCAATAGAAAGGGGGGGGGATATAAAAGAGCAGTGCAGCAGTTTGGAATCCTAAAGTGCATTCCATTCATATCTTGCAAAGATTATAACTAACCAACTAGAGTTTCTGCCATGCAAATCTCTAATTGGAGAACATGATTGATGATGCTTGGCTATGGACATGTTTCAGTTGGAGAATATGAATATGAAGAGAGGTGGGGGAAAACAGTGAATTACATGTCTCAGAATCGGCTACACGCAGGTCATACCATCATGTTAGCTCCTAATAAATCCTCTGGACTGGAGGTTTTGAAACTTGGCTCGAAGCCCATGATTTAATTAGGGCCACTGCCAGAATCCTGACATAAATGAGTGGCAGCTTCCTATCCCATCTTGAAGATATTTGACTTCAAAATCAAGTGAGCTTCATCCTAGGCAGAATTTTTTGGAACAACTTTAAGAGTGTACGAATTGCAGTGATGCAAATACTAGGGTATTATATGGAACCACATTCTAAGGCATACATTTTAATACTTCTCCTTAATTTCATACAATTATTGAACGTAAGGACTGGAAGTGGCCTTGGAGATCAGTGGTGGTGTCGACAGCAAACCATGATGATATCAAAAAAAATATCATGACTTAAATGCCACTACTACAAACTTGCTTTCCAACAACTGGCACAAGTCACAGCATTTGTGTGATGCCATTGTACACATGTCATCATTTGCCCCTGAGCTCTCCAATGGAGACCCATGGGCCCTTCTAGTTTGATGCATGCCCAGTACACTGGGTAACAATTGGTGAGAATTGTTGATTATAGAATATCCTGGATGACAAAGAGGTAATAGAGATGAAATAAGCCAATCCAAACATGTGATGCATGGCCTTTAAATTAGTCAAGAAAACACCAAAACTGGAGTATTATCTATTGGTAAAACTCATCTATGCTCCAAGAGTTATGGAAACAAGATTCTGAAAACCCCAATACCTCCAGATATTTTTATCCCAAATGAAGCATCTTTCAGAAAGTATAACAAAGAAGTGGGTTGATTCCCATGGTTAATTTTTTAAAAATATCACCTATGATTATAATTTAAACTTCCAGCTTGACTTTCCAAGAGGAAACTACAAAAGGAGTTCAAGATCATTTAAGGCTTTGAAAATTATACTATAAAAGGGATAGCAGAAAAGAACATATTCAACTGAAGTCATCAGCTTCCTTTTTTATATAAAATTGCTAACTATTAGGCTCGTATGTTTTAACTCAAAGCCAACTAAGAATTTACCCTTGAATGTGTGTGTATGTGTGTATGTGTATGTTAGTTTATGTAACTTGTAACTTGAAGCAAATGTTCTTTACTTAAACATATTTTTATCAACAAGTAAGCAGTGTACAGTTTGCAAGCAATATTTTAAACGATGTCATTATATGTAGCTAATTCTAATTGCAAAATTAGATTTCTAGTAACATTAGTCAAGTACCAGTTCATTGTAGTTCTTAAGGCACCACATTAGAAACCAGGAGAATGTGAATTCCAGTACTGCCATAGGCACAAAGTCAGGTGGGTGAACTTAGGTGAGCAACTAATCTCTCTCAACTCTGCAAAAAAGACAGGGGCAAGCCACTTCCAAAAGTCTTGCTGGGAAAACAGCCTAGTCCAGGCAGACACCAGGAATCAAAATTAACTCAAATGGACAGTGAATAAATACATATTCAGGATTGTTTTCACCATCAAAGAATCCACACCTTACAAATCTGGAAATGCCAAGAAATGTAACCCATTAGCAGACTGGATTCTTTAGGGAATTTTCTTTCCTTACACTTTCTGTTATGCACGTTATGTGATATTCTTGAGGGATCCTATTTCTCTCTCTTTTAACTCCTTCCATCAGTGGGCATCAGTTTTCTTGTCTTGGTTATGATACCTTCATATTTTTCTAGAAATGTTTGTACACAATGCCCTACGTTGGTGTTAAAAATATATTAATAGAAAATGTGTTTTTGATTAATCTATATGTTCAGAGTTCAAAAGCTCAAATGTTCCATGTTGGTAGATATTGCACAAGGTTCACTTAATTAGTGGCCAGTTGATGAAAAATGTTGGATGGAGCCTGTCTATTTGTTCTGTTTGAACTCAGAATGCCGGATGAGCCTGTTAGTGAGGCCATGCAAAATCTTTTCTGGTTAACCTGCTATTCTTATTTCAAAACAAATAGCTAGTTTTCCTTTTAAAGTACATGGAAACAGTAACCAGGAACAGCTGAGCCCAGCTGTCAAGGTTTCAAAATGGAAGATTGGCTATTTTAAGGGAGGAGGAATCTATCAACAACCCTGAGGGAAAGATAAATGAAATTTTGCTAAGCGTAGATAGAAAACCACAAGAAGACTCCTCAGTCCACCTTGCCAATTAAAAACCACCCTCCCAATTGCTCATATTGTCTTCAACCATCCAATTGTCTCTTTTTTTTCATTTTGCACGCTTGACAAACTCTGTCATTCTATTGTTTTCCCAGCTGGGGTTGCTTTTCTTACACAAAATGAGAACAGATTAGAGTAATGAAATGGGAAAAAATAGCAACAAGTAGAGGCTCCATTGGTCACTAAGGGAAAAATAAGAGGTTAAAAATAATAATTATGGAACTGTTAGCTATTCAAACAGAGACAACTTTCAGTGTACACATTAGTATTTATTTGCTTGCATGATGTCCTTTAAATTCCCAAAGCACAGAAACCGAAGCCGATTATTCTTTCTCACAATAACCCTGCTAGGTTGTTTGGTAAGTCTGTCTGCATCACCTTTATGTTTCCAAAATAGTCTACAAAATAGTCAGAGATTGAATAGATCATTGTAAAGAAGAGAGGAGACCTCCCATTCTCCACTTATAGGATTATAGTCATTAGTAATATCTAACATTACAGTAACAATATTGAAAATATACATAAATGTGTCTCACCCACCAAACAGATATGGCAGTGGAAGCATACCAGTATATCCTTTGCTAACTTGACAGACTGATCAGGTGTGGTGAAATTTACTTAATCCTTCCTGTATAAGCTAATTTGTCCTACAGAAGTTCTTCAAGCCTGTCCATTTATTTAATCATTAAGGTTGGTTAGAAAGTTAATCAGAAATTTAGTCTGGATGTGGCTTTTCTGTCCACCTATACCCATCAACATGAAATCATAATTGTCTGTTATTTCGTTGCTGTTGGCCTTCATTCACACCAAGTTCTTTAATTTTTAGTAGGTATCACATAACTTTTCTCAGCATAACTAGTTAGTACCTATCCTCTTCATCATGTTATCGGTAGACAAGAAATGTTGTGTTCTCCTTTCACTTGTCAATATCTTTTTGTCTCTTCTCAAATTTCTAGTTTGTCTAGCTTGATGAGGGTATGTCTAGTTTAATGAAAAGAAGGAATAGGGGGTGACATGATAGCAGTGTTCCAATATCTCAGGGGCTGCCACAGAGAAGAGGGGGTCAAGCTATTCTCCAAAGCCCCTGAGGGCAGGACAAGAAGCAATGGATGGAAACTAATCAAGGAGAGAAGCAACCTAGAACTAAGAAGAAATTTCCTGACATAACAATTAACCAGTGGAAAAAACTTACCTCCAGAAGTTGTGAATGCTCCAATACTGGAAGTTTTTAAGAAGAGATTAGATAACCATTTGTCTGAAATGATATATAGGGTTTCCTGCCTAAGCAGGGGGTTGGACTAGAAGACCTCCAAGGTCCCTTCCAACTCTGTTATTCTATTCTAACAAACTAGGATCCTGCAATTGCAATAAGATTACCAGAAATGTTTAGGCACTGAAACTTAGAAGCATGGTATTCTGGCTCCTTCATGACCAGGGAAATGTCTGCAATGATACTATAATTCCATTCAGTGGAAAGGAAAATTGTTCTTTCTACAAAATTTCATTTCATGTAAAGCATAGTAAACATGCTCAGCTAAAATGGCCAATTTTCATGGAGATCTCACCTCTGAAAACAGAGAGGTCAAAAATAAAATTGGATACACACTTCCAGAGAGGGCAACAGACCTCATGTATTTAGAAATGTGACCCCTCTTTTAAAGAAAAAATAAAACCCATCTCCTGATTTCACTACATCAGCTAATATTTATCTTCCTTAGCCTTCCTTTGTTTATTTTTAGCTTTCCTTCATTTCTGCTTTTCAACAAGTTGCTTGGTTAGCAATGATTAGAAATGGAAAAGTCTTGTTCACTATGGTGTAAATAAATACACAGCTAATGTAATGAAAGTATTGCCTATGCCTTTTGTAATTTCCTAAATTAAAACTCTACATGTTCAAGGACAGGCAAAGTAGACCAGAGTGGGACTGTGTATCTCTTTTTGTACTCTGAACAGGAAGCAATCAAAACTAAAATAAAAGGAAAATATATTTGCCGATATAAAACAACCGTGCAGGACCTTATTTACAGAACTTTGCATCCAAGTACAGTATAAATGCAATATTAATTTATTTTGGAACCCAGAGTACAATATCTGTAAAACTAATGTTACCACAGATTCCATGGGCCACAGAACACCTGCTTTACAATTCCCTTTATCCACTCTATGGATACACAAGCCTCTTGGTTCACCCTCATTAATCAAACTAAACAGGTGGTACAGATTCCCGAAAAGGACAGGTGAGCCTTATGCCTGAAATATGACCACTGGGTTGGTGGCAAATGTGGAGAGTCAACACAGAGCCAGCAGTAATGAGATTGTTTTGAAAGGAAGCAAAGCAGACTCTGGAGGTAGCAAATGATGTTTTAGCGGTAGGAATTACCAGGCAAATCAGTAAGAGATACATGTAAGGACATGGTTAAATACCCTCATCATGATCAAGTATAGCATAGAACAATAACCAAGGCTCTGCACCGAGAGTCTTAAAAAGTCAACCTCCTATTTTAGTGGAGGATGAGTGGAACAATGAATTCTCCTCCCCAATGGTTCATGGTAAACAACTGAACAGATGTTTAGCTCTGCTATGTTTAATCCAGCCAGGAATAAGCTGGACAAGCTTTTGTTTGTGCCATCCTTACATGCACGTAAGATGATGGAGTACTTACTTTACTGCCCAGGATCTCAAGCAGGTGACAGAAAAAATTATCAAGCTCTTTTCCTTCTATGTACCCATTGTCTAAAAATAAAATAAAATAAACTATATTACTGAATATGCAATAAGTATATGAATCCCAAGCCCAATGCTTGACATCACCATAAATCAATCAAGCCTGTATGTCAAAGGAGTTTGAGAGGCATGTAAGCCCTTCTGTTGCTAAAACGCCCCACCCCCCCACATATGCAATTCATGTATGACTTAATTACTTTATTGAATTGAATACTTTATTTGGCCATCTGTGGCTCGACACACAAAGAGTATGTCTCTGGTAATGAAGCACTCAGGGTACATGCAAAGCCACAAAGATAATAATAATAATAATAATAATAATAATAATAATAATAATAATAATACCAATAAAAAGGGGAAGTAGATAAGGATAAATAAGAATACTACAGCCATGCTGTAGTAGGTTTAATATACATAGACATTAGACAAAACTGCAAGCATTAGGAGTTTAGCAAAGCGATGGGCCAAAACGAGGGAGGAAAACCGGTCCCTGTGAGTAATGCGTCATTAAAAACGATTCAGGAGTAAACAGACGAGCTGGCCATCCATTGATTAATCGTCTCCAGCAGTGACAAAAACATTCGCAGCTTGACAGGGCATCTTGTATTGGAAAGTGAAGCAGGTGGGTTGCAGGGAAAAGTTCAGGACAAGGGGGGAACCCCCAAAGAGCAGTGAATCTCAATCAAACCAAAGGGCCCGTTCGGGGAAGCCGAAACAGACTTACCCCAAATTAAGTTTTTGCCCCGAGGAAGCCTCCGCGCGCTCGCCCCACGCCCACGCCCCGCTCCCCAAAATCCTCCTCCGCCTCTCACTCACCGTCAGAATCGAAGCGCTGCCAGAGGCTCCGGAAACTTGCAGCGTCCACGCGGGGCAGGAGATCGCTGTCCATGGTGCTTACGACGGCCAAAGTTTGGGGTGCCGGCCTTTGAACCGACCCGCGGCGACGGCGGCGGCGACTGGCAAAGGCAAAGCGACAGTGGAGCCGCCCAGCGCTCCCAAGTTCCCACCTGCTGCTTCGAGAGGCGGCCAGAGCGACCTCGAAGAGGAGGGGAAAATCGAATCAAAGAAACTGCGCGGCTCGTTGTTTCCGAAGTGATGAATCGGGAGGAGGTGACGGACAACTCTGCTCCTAACCGAAAGCCAGGGAAACCGAAGTGGGGCTTTTAAATTAAGGGGTCCTCTCCTTACTTGCGACGGCTTTAGACGAGCAGACAATGTCAGATCGACACTGGGGAGGAGGCTGCAGAGGAAACGTCTGTACTGGGAAATGCACTTGAGCTTTGCAAAATTTGATCAAGTTGGCATTGGTCTTTTATTAAAAACAAACAACACCACAACAACACAAAAGTGGCTTCTAGTGAGTGGGGAAAGCATCCCAGCTCTAACTATAGATCAAGAAGTGAAGAAATGACTATGAATAACCCCTCATTATTTAATCAGAAGCCAGGGTGCATCTGTGGGATAACTTTTTAATCCTAGAAATTATAGGCAAATCAATCCTATGTGCTTCTTATGAATTACAGTTATTCTGCCAGAGACATTTTGAAACCTCACCTGTGTTTTCAAAAAGATTTCCTACATGCTTTAGCACAGTTGAGGGATATGAAAAGGAAATAATTTTTGTTATTAATTGTTAATTAATCAGCAGTATTTTCAGCACTCAAAATGGGTCTGAAGGCTCCACTGCATCTCATAGAAGCAGTTGTAGAATGTTAAATTAGGGTTTTTAAATGGTTTCTTATCAGATACCAATAACAATGGCTATGTAATTATATCCAAGGCTTGACAGAAAGCTAGTGTTGGGTGTTTTTGAGGCTGCAGTTGAGCAAGATGGTAATTATTAGCACTATCCATTACCTTCCATTAAAAAAAATATGTATCAGCTATTTTTTGTCTTTTATCAGATCCTGCAATTAAATGCATATGGCTAGCCCCTAATCATTACTTTCTGATAACTTTATTTATACTCCTCCCTATAAGACAACATAATATGATGGGAAGAAGTAAGAAACCACAGAGAGTAAGGCTCAGTCTTTGACTACTCATGCTAGTGATATTTCACATCTAGAAAAATTCTCTTATTTTTACTTCATCCAATTTCCCATTCTGATTACAATATTATTTTTTTACAGTGAGAATCCCTTGCAAAGGCTTGAACTGATTGCATAAAAGTTGAGGCAGCCATGCAAAAAAATTCTAAAAGAAACTCTGGAAAAACAAATGTACACAAAATTTCCATCTTTGTTCAGCTGCATGTTCATTTGTTCCATATATGAGTGACAGCTTGATTGGCAATCGGAGTGTCAATTTTGGTTTATCTAACATGGCTTTCCTCAACTGGATATTCTACAGATATATTGAGTGTCAACTCCCATGCCAGTAGGAACAGTTAAATTACTATCTGACACCTCTGCAGAAGAGCGGGTTAGGAATAAATAAAAAAAATGTGGTGAGATAAATAGTTTGGCTGGCTTCACAGCAATCAATATCCTTTTGTTGTTGTTGTAGACTAAGTGATTAACTTGAAAAGAACTTTGGGTCCTGTAATGCCTGGAAACTGATCTGAGCTAGATATGAATTTCTTGAAAAAGTAGAACTTAAGTTAGCAATACATACAGATATTAAATTCTGGAGTTATTCCTACACTAAGCAAGAGAATGATGAACTATAGTGCCATTATTAGTTTTATTATTTGTAATCAGATTTATGACAAAAGCTACACAATCTTCAAAACATTGGGTTCAGGGAAGGCATCGGTATCCTTGAAACTAATGAATCAACAGACACATAGAGGCTACTTTGGTCTGGTGTTAAGGTGCACATCTAGAAACCAGAAGACTGTGAGTTCTAGTCTCAATTTAGGCATGAAAGTCAACTGGATGACTTTGGGCTAGTTACTCTTCCTCAGACCAACCCATCTCACAGGGTTGTTGTTGTGGGAAAAATAGGAGGAGGAAAGAGTATTATGTATGTTCATCACCTTGAGTTATTTATAAAAATATTAAAGGTCTGATTAATTTAACTATGACTGTTTCTGATTACTTCTGGATCTAATCCCACATATTGGGTGCTTGCCTTGTTTAATTACTGGCACCATGAATAACTGCTAAATAAAACGAACCCTTCCCTCAACTTGATATAAATTATGATAAAAGGAGACATTTTCCCCATGTTTTTCAGGAAAGACTATCCCTAAATGATTGATAGTCTTATCAGACTATTAGACATGCATAAAATTAAACAGTAAGAGAGAATATGGCTTTTTCTTAAATACTTTGCAGAGGTCTACATCTGTCTTATCTATAAAACGTTCTGCTAAGAATTTTAAAACATGATCAGTTGAGAATACAGAAAGTCACTATATAACAGAAATGGAGATGCTCACCTTCCCAACTTAGAGGATTGAACTTCTTGATCAAGTTTAGAAGTTTGTCATCTATGCAGAGGTCTATTTTCCAGCTACCTTTCCTTTGCATGCTTTTGGATATAACATTACATTTGCACAATTCATATCTACAATTATATCAGAATATAATGAAGCTAATCGTAAATCTATAGTCTATCAACATTTTTATGAGCTTACACATTTGGGATATGTAAGCCCATTGAAATGAAAGGCATTACCACAAAAGCTGAAGCATTAATTAACACTATAAACTCCCAAATGGACGAGAATAATTATTATGCTCCGATAAAGGCTTATGAAATGTTAAATGTGATATGTAAAGCAAGACTTACCTCCATATCTAATGAATAGGCTTAAGCAAACCCGTTTATTACCCTCTCCTAATTTTCTAAGTAGAAGAATAGATTCAGTGGGCGACGTGAAAGGAAATAAAGATGAAAAGAAGGAAGGGAGGACTGGGAATGAGTTGGCCTTACTTTCTGATAGTTGTAGAAGTGCTAGGTTTGTCTTATTCTGGGTAAAGAAGCTCAATATCCATAAGATATCATTTCTGCTCAGTTCGCTATCAGAGGAAAGCATTCAAATGTCAAATGCAGATAACAAAACAGCCAATTTTGGTTGTGAATACATTTGGCTTCCTTATGCCTCCAATGGATACTAGGAAGCAACAATTTATCAGAGTTTAAGACAGTCTGTCTTTTTCTCTTTCTCCATATCATTAGTATTTAAGCATAAATATTTAAATCTCTTCACCTGTTCCAGTTCCATTGTTCACCTGTTCCAGTTTATTTCATTCTCATATATCTATCCTGTTTTATGCATAGCTCTATAGACCGATTCCTACAATATCACTCCAGGAGAAAGTTGTGAGTCTTAATAAAGATTAAATACAATAAACTTAAAAGTTTATTATAAACTTAAAATAAAAGTTTTGTAGCGTCCTTGCCTTTAGCCAAATCCATTACTTCTAACAAAGGGGTATCAAATTGTAACAAATTGTAGCACACTCTAGTAAAATATACTGTATTTTTGTCTAAGAATGTGATGGGTTACAATAATAACCTTGTTACAATTAGTCAGTGGTCCATGTCAAGCTAGAATGATATGTCAAGTAGTAGGGCATTACAGGGCTCCATTCATTGTTCCTGTGTGCAACAAAACGTGCACGAGGTTATCATGCTTATCAAACATGATTATCAACTTCATAGATGACACCAAGAAAAGGAGGATAGCAAACACCCTGAGTAACTGTATCAAGATTCAGGATGATCTTCAAAAGCCAGAACAAAAGCCAGAGTTATTATTCTCAGTACATCTTAATGGGCACATTGTGGAAAAGACTGCTGTCTTGGATTTTCTAGAAATACCCAAGAAAACAAGTCTATTTGAACTCAAAGACATATAAAAGACCATGCTGCCAACCTTGACAGGCTGACCCTTTTACTTTATGATAAGGCCAATATTTTTACCCCCATATCTCTTTTATTGCCTTATTTCTTCCTCTTAACTTATGAGGACTGTATTTGTGGAAGGTATGTATGCCCTTTAGAGTCCTAATGCTAAGGAATAACATTCAAATTATTTCATTTCATCTGATTACATGTAATATATACAACATTAAACTATTGGGATGTATTCCCCAGGAAATGTCGGTAATTTCTTAAAGTTAAAAAGGGGGAAAAATAATTTGGCTATATAAATGGTCTTATGCTATGTTTCAAAAGTGACATCCCTTTTCTAAGCTAACAGGAGATGCTTAAGTGAGATGCTTATTATTATAACAGGCAATGCCCCCCAAAATGGTATCTGGAGCGAGACCATTTGCAATTAGATGCAACTATATCTCTTAGAGCCTAATATTTTCATTATTATATTGTTGATTGCAAATCCTACTGACAAACGTTTTAATAGGTGAAGAAAGAAATAGTTCAGGCAGAAAAACACTGAGAAATTGCAGCCATTCTTGTTTCCTGAAGGGCCTCAGTAACCTTGCTTAGTTGGTATGGGTTCAAATGATCTCGCAAACAATATTTACCCCAGTTTGTATATTCTTGGTGCGGGATATTCTCCTCTGGAAAACCATGTCCTTAGCACCACCAATTCCTGGCCTTGAAAACTACTTGCAAAAAAGTGAGAAAGAGCTGAACGCCTGGGATTCTTTGCTCCCAAGTTCATTTCAGCTACAGTTTTACTATTTGGATATGAGGAAATGGTTACTTGTGAGCCTTAACTACCTGATCTGAAATACAGGATATACAACTATAGCCGGAAGGACTTTTCTCAGGATAAATGACCTTTTGGAGGCATGAATCAAAAGCTCTAATGAACATCAACTAGAGTTCATCCATTTTTGATATTAGAAGATAATAGCAATAACAACTCTCCATGCAGAATATCCTGGATATGCCAGAAATCTATTGACTTCTTTTATTATTGGAAGTGTTCTTTAGACTGGTCCAGAATCTCATGCATCTATCCACAGA